TTTTTTTGATCTACAGTATTTTCTTATTTTGATGTTTTGAGCTCTTTTGTGTTTAGAACAATATATACTATTTTTTAAAGTATCAAATTGATTTTTTTTTCAATAAAAAATCTTTCAAATGCGACTGTAGCTTTTTTTTCCCCAAAAAACTTTGTCTTCAAAATAAGGGTGCGTCTTATATTCCGAAAAATACGGTACTTTTTTGTAGTCCCCCAGTGGCACAGCGGTATGTCTGCGGAGTTACAATGCTAGAAATCGGGTTTCGATACCCGTGGTGGGCAGAGCACAGATAGCCCATTGTGTAGCTTTGTGCTTAATTACAAACAAACTTTTTTGTATTACTAATATTGTTGTTTTAACTTTTAACTACACCAAACCGGACTGGATAAATGTACAATATCAATGTTTAGTTTCTTTGTTTGTTTCAGAATTTTGCGCGAAGCTTTTCATGGTCTATCTTCGCATAGTTGTCCCTAATATTGAACCGATAAACTAGAACAGTATAAGTAAGGCATATAGTCAACAACACCCACTGTCAACTCTCAGGCCTCTCTTATTTGATCAAGTAACGGGATTTGACTGTCACTCTTATAACGTAACCACAGAAGCCCTTAGTGTTGAGCGAATTTCTGCGGCAACGGGACTCGAATTCACAATCCAGGCATGCAAGCTGCTAAAAGTTTTAGTTTACACACTTTATCAGAGTGGTAAGGTACAGTAACTTTTATATCTCACAACAACATTGCTTAACCTTCCAAGACCAGGCATTTTAGTATTCCGAGACACCAGAAGAAATTGGAAAATTTTACGAAGTGACAAAATGTTTTGCATTTGATTGATTGATTATATATTGTATTGAACAAAGGCCATACAAACCACATACCTATGGATTCACTGTGAAAAACCAATATCTAAGTACGTCCACATGGGGCCTGGAAATATAAATAGCAAGCATACTAAGTATGCCCCATATGGTAAACATAGGGTTAAGCAAGAGTAAAAATACTGACCCAAAGTGATAAGGTTATTCTTATTCGCATGTATACTTTTCTGTATTTGTTTCCAACTTGTTAACAGGAATGACAAAAAGCTACAAGTGGATATATATACATTATAAAGCAGTTTCACGTATTCATTTTTTATTTTATAATTTATGAAAATATTTCTGTTTTCCATATATCTATAAGCCATGTTGGATATAGTTGTTGTTTTGTACCGTAAATGACTTTAAACTGTTTACCACACTCTCGGCTATATATTTGAATATTGACAGTTTAAGTACGATTAGGATAAAAATGTGTAACAATTATATGAGTAATTCAAGAATATACATTAACATTATTATTGTATACAACGTAATTAGATGGTTACAGCTCAAGTGGACACGTTGTGAATGGAAACACTAACTGGTATTATTTTTGATCGACTCGAATTCGAGTGTGAATAAGATAGCGAGTTATGGCTGGTAGTGGTTTAGTTTTACTCTAATGGCTACATTTATATGCTAATCTTCAAACGTATACTCTGGGTATAATTTATTTAAAACCTTACAGTAGTTAATAAGCATAAATAATATATTTTAGTGTTAAATATAATCTAATGCTCGAAAAGAGATCTCATCAGTTTGTGTAGAATATCCGTTAAAACTTTTATATAGATAAAAGAGATTCTTCTGAAATAATATATATGTATATACGTAATAAAATAATAACATTTAAAACTTAAGCTTTATGATCGTAGTAGGAATTGAGTAGCATGGCTCTAACTGAACTTCCAGTAAATCTGAATTAGCATTTTATAATATATTTCAATATTATTACGAAGAAACAGCTTACATATAGTTTTATAAAGTCGTTAATTCATATAGTTTCCTTAGCGAAATATAAAAGTCTTCACATAAATATTTTATCATATTTGTTTTCGTTAAATCTCTGCTGTACGTTTGTCTTGGGTTCTAGGTTTACGACAGATAGCAGAGGGTCGGGTTGCTGTTCTTTTGCTTGCTGGAGGTCAGGGAACGCGACTCGGTGTAAATTACCCGAAAGGAATGTATGACGTAGGACTACCCACACAAAAAACTCTCTACCATCTTCAAGGCGAGAGAATTGTTCGACTGGAGCATCTTGCTGAGGAACTTACTGGAAAACGAGGCTCCGTACCTTGGTTAGTTTATACATAGAGTGAAACCTCACGTGTATCAGAAGCTCTTATCAAGCTTATCACTTGTGTTACAGTTCCATTGTTTATATCATACGTGTAAAACAACTCCTTAATTCAGACTTTTCTATTGCATGTAGAATTTGCTTAATACTTTTTCAGAATGTAATCCGATTTTGTGAACGACTGAGATACGACAATCCGACTTAAAAAACACTTTGTTATCGTTGTTTTGTTATAGCACGAGATTCTCCCAGAACATTTTGGACTGGATTTTATAAACAAATGACAATCCGCGGAAATATTCTCTTTGCCAAAGAAAACTGGTGTAAATGGTGTCGAACAGAAACTTTACGACTCCGTAGGTTCCGACACCAACAAACGATTATTGTGTCTATGATATATAAAAACATAAACAAATTATCGCAATACTTTGTTTGGTTGTTCTACATTTTACGCAAAGCTACTCGAGGGCTATCTGCGCTAGACAGCAACAACCAAGTGTACCGCTGTTGGTTTTTTTCTTTCGCTTTTCGATTCTGTAGTTTGCAATTAGAATCATTATAGATCACATGCTTATGATGACAAAAGTCATACTGTCATCAAGTTGAAACTATAAATTTGATGAGCTAAATCAGCTTTCCAACTCTGTTGCAAACTGTCAGCCGTGCCCAAATGGTTACTTTGCTTGACTTCGGACAAAGGTGTAATGTTTGAGCTGCGATATGCTACTGAATACGTTCCGCGCTTTCATTTGTGGGGGCGGCTATCACTCTGACATTCAATCCCGCTAATCGGTTGAGAGTAACCGCATAGATGGCGGGTGCTATTGGCTGGTTGCCCTCCCTTTGGTCAGCAGTTCTAAGTTATTTGTGGCAATGCCTGAACCTTATGAGGACCCTGACCTATCATTTTACCCTATATTGGTATAAGGTGCTGTCCAGGTTGAAAAAGCCAATACCACTCGTCGGAAGTTAAACTTAAGTATAATGTTAAATGTAAAAACTACAAACAACACTGCACAAAATTTACCACTGAAGTTTCTTTAGATCAAAATTGAATGATATCCTTTTTCTATTAATGTAGAAAAAGTCTGGAGTATTCACGGTAATACTGGCTAGAGTATTATACATATTCAACTTACGTCTGGAGTCTTCACGGTAAAGCAGGCTAGAGTATTATACATATTCAACTTACGTCTGGAGTCTTCACGGTAATACTGGCTAGAGTATTATACACATTCAACTTACGTCTGGAGTTTTCACGGTAAAGCAGGCTAGAGTATTATACACATTCAACTTACGTCTGGAGTCTTCACGGTAAAGCAGGCTAGAGTATTATAAATATTCGACTTAAGTCTGGAACAAGTCCCTTAAAATAATTATAAAATGTTGAAATTAGGGTTGCGCTTAGATACAAATTGTTTGCACGTATTTATACAACTGTTGTTTTTTTTTTTCAGATAATAATTTATCACTGAATGTGACTGTACGGCGTTTTTTGTGTTGCATATTATTTTACCAAACTAATCGCGTAAACACTAAACGTCCAAAGAAGTTTTTTAACATTACATTCGTCAGCCAGCGCTAAAATCCAGGTTTCGATTCCCCGCGATGGACAGATCACATTTACCCCATTGTGTAGCTTTGCGCTACAAATCCATAAGGAACTTTGCATGATAAAAACGTGACATACGTCGTTTGTGAGAGACGGTCTTATACACCTTTAGAGACAGTAGTAATTGCAATAAACCAGTTATTAGCTGACTGATAATAAAAACTGCAGTATTAAAATAACTTGTAAGAATTACATTTTAAAATGTAGAAAAAAAGATAATCAGATAAGAATAAAGAAAATTCTTAGTCTATCTCAGTTATAAGCTTCATATTTTATTTGTTATTTCATATTACAATTATTTCTAAACCAATTAGGTACATAATGACTAGCGGGCATACAATGGGACCAACCTTAGAGTTTTTTGCAAGCCACAACTACTTTGGACTCAGAAAAGAAAATATCGTTATGTTTGAACAAGGAATGCTTCCATGCTTCACGTTTGATGGAAAGATTATCCAACAAAGTCCGTGGAAGATAGCTACAGCCCCAGGTAAGTCGTAACGTGGAAGATAGCTAAAGCCCCAGGTAAGTCGTAACGTGGAAGATAGCTAAAGCCCCAGGTAAGTCGGAACGTGGAAGATAGCTACAGCCCCAGGTAAGTCGTAACGCGGAAGATAGCTAAAGCCCCAGGTAAGTCGTAACGTGGGAGTTAGCTAAAGCCTCAGATAAGTCGTAACGTGGAAGATAGCTAAAGCCCCAGGTAAGTCGTAACGTGGAAGATAGCTAAAGTCCCATGTAAGTCGTAAAGTGGGAGTTAGCTAAAGCCTCAGGTAAGTCGTAACGTGGAAGATAGCTAAAGCCTCAGGTAAGTCGTAACGTGGAAGATAGCTAAAGTCCCAGGTAAGTTGTAACATGGAAGGTATTTAGAGTCCTGGGTAGGTCGTATATATCGTCACTTGGATAAGTTGTATACGTCAGGTTGAAGATAGCTAGAGGTAGGCACAGGTAAATCGTATGTCATCACGTGGAAGATAGCTAGAGACCCAAGTAAGTCGTATATCGTCACGTTAAAGATAGCTAGAGGCCAATGTAAGTCGTATATCGTCACGAAGATAGCTAGAGGCCCAGGTAAGTCGTATATCGTCACGTTAAAGATAGCTAGAGGCCAATGTAAGTCGTATATCGTCACGAAGATAGCTAGAGGCCCAGTTAAGTCGTATATCGTTACGTTGAAGATAGCTAGAGGCCTAGGTAAGTCATATACAAACTGCAATTTCTTGGTTCTTATAAAAATTCCTGTATCCATTATATCCAAAATCTCACCAAACATTAACTTTCTGCCTGGCTGATAAAACATACAAACATAAGCTACCTAGACTTACATGTGATAATTTCAGCTGATAAAACCTTTTATAGTGTGGGTTACTATTTTTACTTACTAAATGATTATAAATAACTTTTAAGCGTGAGAATGCTACGACTGGTGATGATTGGACGATAGCTTTTAAGGATTAGTGTATTTGTATTTTGCTAAATTAAACTAAAGCAAACATAAATTTATACACTTGAGTCGTAGAAGCAAGTTTTTTAAATGCAGAAACTGGGAGTTTTCATCACGTGTCAGCTTTCGGCTCCTGTTCCAACCTTCGAGCGCCGGGCAGACTCTAGGTTCAGAAACCCCCAGTTTAGTGCAAGTTTCGACTTGGTAGAAAGTCTCAATGGTTTAATTGGAACATTTGTTAATCCACTTTAGGAGCCTGAAACAATGGCAGAGGAAAAATTATTATGTTTACTTACAACATTTTTCGGTAGTGTAATTTACAACACATATGGGTATTTTAGCGCATTTGATTTTCTTTTTTACGAGCAGTTTTTGGATCACATATCACGAGGAATTATTCTGTAAGCCTAAGCTATGTTTTCAACGTCAAAATTTAGTTTACTATAGGGAGCTGCTAGTCATAATAATGTAATAATCGTGAAACTTCGTCTAATTAGGAGACATAAAGGTACATTATTTATGAGTAGGTAGTTAGCGAAATTATCGTTCTTGAACTCAGTGTTAGAAAAGTTGCTCACAGTTTACTATTAGAAGTGAGAAATATTGCCTTCTATTAAGTTATTCGAACGATTGACGAGAAAACTCTGTAAGCAAGTATATTTGTTAGTTAGGTACCTACCAGTCTCGGAATTTCTGTTGAAATGTTATTTGTGCACTTAGGCCTACAACTACGAGTGAAGGTAGCCTGTAGCAAACGTTAAAGAAGAAATTAACAAATTTGTTATTGTTACGTGGAGTGGATAAAGCATTATTTTTACCATATAATCCAACTAAGCCCGCCCAACGAAAGAATACTTCATAACAATATCGATGTGTGTTTTAAAAGTTATGACTTTAAAACTATTTCATTGACGTACTCTAAAACTGTGACTGAGGCTTTATGACTTAAAACCAGATTGCTGTTATATATATATATCAAATAAGCTGAGAGCGAATAACAGAAAACTATTCATGTTACAGGAGCTAATAGGAGACTTAGGTGGTCAAAGTATTTTCATAATTATGTATTTAAGATATCCTAGTTAAAGCTACTTTCAACACACTCCTGCACATAAAAAAAAAAGTTTTTGCTGTGACTGTAAAATATGATTTTTACTGTTTCTCCTGCAGATGGAAATGGAGGTTTGTATCGTGCACTGAGGAAGAAAGGAATTATCGACGACATGGAACGGCGTGGAATTAAATACATTCACGTCTACTGTGTAGATAATATTTTGGTTAAAATGGCCGATCCAGTTTTCATTGGATACTGCATCAGCAAAGGGGCAAACTGTGCTGCAAAGGTTTGTGTTCGGACAGTTCTTATGAATTATATGATAGATTGTTTAGGCAGAATATTCAACCAGTTCTTATGAATTATATGATAGATTGTTTAGGCAGAGTATTCAACCAGTTCTTATGAATTATATGATAGATTGTTTAGGCAGAGTATTCAACCAGTTCTTATGACACTATTATTTTAAAAGCTGCTTACGAGAACAAGAAGAAATGCATCTCTGGCAAAGTTCTAAACTCGTTCGAACGATGATTTAAGTTATTTATTAAAATCCATGTAGGGGGCGCTAGGGTATATTTCAGTTTACTGTTAGAGGAGAAAGAATCCAGAAGTGCGGATGGATGCTGTTGTTTGTTTGTTTTTTGTTTTTTGGAAAAATTATACGGTTTCAGTAAAATACTTAGCAAAGGTTATATTATTGTTAATACGTTGTTTTTCAGATCAATTACTATATAATGGCAAACAGTGTTGTTTAAAATCCACATGAAAAGTCATTATTATTAATATTGGCCTTAACCAGGTGGTCGAAAAATCTTTTCCGATGGAACCAGTAGGCGTGGTCTGTAAAGTAGCCGGGAAGTACCAGGTTGTGGAATACAGTGAAATAACTCCTCGAACGGCACAGAAGCGTGGTCCAGATGGTCGGTTGATGTTTAACGCTGCTAACATCTGTAACCATTTCTTCACACTGGACTTTTTACGTGATGTAACCAAGTAAGTAGTAATACGTTCTGTCTTATATATACAGAACCAGTGGCAGCGGGGGACAAGCCCCCTGAAGTGTCGTTACCTTCTCTCCCGAGGTAATGCTATCCATTGATCTAATTTTATATTTGTTTTCGACTTGACGCCATTAAATGTCTCATTGCCCCCCCCCCATACACACACAAACAAAAAATGTTTAAAATCCCCATTTAAAAATATCAAGTTCATACTGGTGTGTGTTAAATTATTAGAAAATAGCTTTGAGTAAACAAACACAAAATTATTCTTCACCAGGTGGAGTACTCATACGTTGAACGGATGAAATAAAATCTCGTTTGTAACAAAGGATAAGAAATTGTGCTTTTATTTCTTTTTCTTAACATAATAAACATTAAAGTGCAATAAACATACGTAAAGGTACCAATACTGAAAAGAAAGACATACTGTTTTCAAGAATAGTGGTTACATAGTTCATTCTAATGCTAAAGAATAGAAATTAGATCTTCCTCGTGTCATCCTGTATCACTGTGTCAAGTTTAGTGCTGATTGGTCAAGAAATGTGGAAACGTACAAGGATTTCATTGTAAGAAAATTTCCTCTGACTTTTGTTCCTTAATATTGTTGTTCTCACGTCAAAAGACATCTCGGTTTTTCGAATCTCCTTTTTAATTTGATGATGATCTAAAAAAAATGAAATGACGTGTTTTTGTAATAAACAATTTAATACTACCCATATCAGCAATTTATAGCCTGACCTTTTCTTTTTCAGTTCAAACAACCTGAAACATCACGTTGCTAGGAAGAAGATCCCTTATACGAATGACAACGGTCAGATAGTGAAACCTGAAAAACCTAACGGGATAAAGTTGGAGAAGTTTGTGTTCGATGTATTTGAATTTACTAAGTATGTTTTGATCGAACTTATTATTTTTAAATCATTTTTAGTGTTTCAGTGTTAAAAACTTAAAAAAAAATTATCTCTACATTTTTTGTGAAAGTAAAAGATTCATTTATATAAATTTGACCTTAGCTGAATCAGTCAGTAGAGAGAGAAAAATTGTAACGTTATGTGATGAATTTTTACTGGATTATTTTATTGGGTTGATAAATATTTCAAAGTCTTATCAAAAGTAGAAACTGTATAGTATAGTGTAACAAGTCACACGCTTTACATTCTACAAGGCCCGGCATGGCCAGGTGGTTAGGGCGCTTGACTCACAATCTGAGGGTCGCGGGTTCGAATCCCCGTTACATCAAATATGGGGGTGTTATAATATGACGGTGGTAAAAGAGTAGCCCAAGAGTTGGCGGTGGGTGATGATGACTAGCTGCCTTACATTGCTAAATTAGGGACGGCTAGCGCATATAGCCCTCGTGTAGCTTTTCGCAAAATAAAAAAACAACAAAAATACAATCGAACAGAACCACTAATTGTAGTTCACATCTTCTAGAAATTAAAATAAATCATCTGCCTCAAAATTATCTTAATTTCAAATACACCTAGTCTACTTCTGCGCATAATTTGAATACACAGAAGCATATCTTACCTCTTGAAATGAGCTTATACTAACCATTAACTAGTGTCAAAAGAAAATCTTAGACTAACACCACAATAAGATGTCTGTCAGTGCACTATTACGAATAATAATAATTAACAAATGGTTATATTTCAAAGTAACACAATGTCGTTCAAAATTATCAATAATAAATAACTTATACATATTTTTTATTTCCGAAGACGTGACAATTTCTAACTTTTATACAATTGTCTAACACTGTTTTATACCTTGAAACCAAATACATTAGTGGTCCTCTCTTCAGTAATGTATGGAAATAAGGTAGAGAAGTCTTTTATGATGGATAATCGAGATCATTAAAATATCACCAAGAATACCAGACGCTTCGATCCAAGGGTGTTAATCACGTACTAGGAGGTTTGGTGTATTTCCTATTTATAAACTGGAGACTTGGAGCAGCAGAATCAGGTTCGTGTTCAGAGGTTCCACTTGGAGTTAATTCTTCTTTCTTTGCTGACTTTTTTTTAATAAAGTCTCATCTGCTTAGCTCATTTTCACGAATGACCAATAGCCTGTTTTCTCACGATGGTTGGTCACGATAAACAAAATTCGACTTGGAATGTCTGCTTTTTGAAATATAGTTTACCATATAGTTTATTCTCTTTATCACCACGTATAATTTTCTGTACTGTCAGCAGATTTTGAGATAGACTTGTCGTCGTACAAGATTTACAGAGATATTATCCTATTGTCTCTTAATGTTGCAAAAACCTGTCCAAAACTTCTAAAACAGATGCAATCTACAGAAATATGTAATCAAGTACATTTTCCCCTGTCTCTTCTAAAAAGAACCAGAACAACGGTTTGATCCATAGCTTTCTATATCACGTTATTCTAACTCATTAATAGTTGGAACAGGTTTTGGTCTCTTCTTGTCATTTTCTTTCACATACTTGGATAGTTGGTCCAAATGTCACATTTTTGGCGTTCTACAGCTTTACCTGGATAAGAGCGTTTATGTATTTTGCAAACAAAACTTACATAAAGTTTCTGCTTGATTAGAATGAAGTATGATAGGTACTTCAAATCTGGATAAAACTCATTTACTACGTACAACACATGCTTTCGGCCAATTCATACGTTAACCTATCACTTCCACATTATGTTTACTTTTATACTGTTGTAATTTGTTAGTTAGCTAGAGGGTACAGGACGTTATGATTAAGTACGTTTGTGGGACTGTATGTTGTAATGATGACGTTAAATTTCTAAAGATTTGAGGTCAAGTTTTCTAGTACATTCGAGGGTAGATTATAAATACGGGGTCAGCGAAGCATCAAGAAGATATAGATGAGTTGAAGGATAGTTTAAACATTAGTTAAAAAGATATATAGTTGTTTCAAGATAGAGAGTTGTTTCTACCTGATAAAGTGAATTGGCTATTTTGGACCTGTGTTAGCTATCGAGAACATTGGGTTACTTTGTACAAGTAAGTTGCTTTTGCGTTAGTATAGTGCAGTTAGCGTCATTTGTAAACGTAGGCCTACAATAAGCTACAACAGTATACAATTGTTCAAGCTTGTAGAAAATGTCCAAGAAGAAATTAATTAATTTTGTATCGTTTACGTGGACTGGACTTTGAATTATGTTCACCAAATAATACAAAATAACAACGCTACAAAAATATTCTTAGGCTAATGGCGATTGTTAATTGTATTCGGCGATTCAACTCATTTCTACCAATTCAACGTCAACTAATGATTCACTAAAACCTCGCCTGAACGTGTGAGACTCCTCAAAATATTAATTCAATTTTGCAAAAGTCTTGCACTTAACTTCAACAGTAGTGTGTCCTTTTATTTTTCTATTTGAAAATAGTAATATAATGTATAGTCTCAAATAGTGGTTTCAAGTTTTAACTTTTCATTATGAAATTTTCATAAAACTGCAAATTTAGTTTTCCTCTGGTAAACTGGAGATGGTGATTTTTTTCCAAAATATTGTAATGTTTCTTTTAATATGTCTTCTGAAATTTGTATTTAGCACAATTAGTTCTTTCATACTCCGAAGCTAGTCAGATTTGACCATCTGATTTGGATACCCCCTTCCCTTCAGGTTATCCTGGATACACCACTGATATATCTCCCTAAAGCATAAGTGAGACTGCACATACAACTTGAAAAAGTTTGTTTGGGCTCGTCAGTGGCACAAACGTCCCTAGATAAGGTTGATCTTTCCTTTCTAGCTTTACCAAGTATTCTTAGCTTCAATTTAATACAGCTACCACGCTTTGTTTAGTTTTTATGGATCGATCCAGTGGTAGTTTTGAACGAACTGCTACAGGACAACCTGAGTTAAGTAATCATGACATCGACCGAAGAGTTTTTACTGCAGTTTTGGAGCTTATAGTTTGTGCATTGACATTTGGTGCCCAGATGACTTTAAAACAAGCTATAGATATGGAGGCTGAAGCCTATGTGAACTAGTGAAAAAACTACAAAAAGGAGAACACCATCTATTAAAATAAATAAATCAGAACAACCAGAAATTTAATAGAAAGTCTCTGTGATAAAACTTAGGAACGCTTTGAAGTGAACAAAACCTTTTCCTGCTTCATACGTTACGTAGTCGCTCCCTTATATCGTGAGAAACGCAAGCCGATCAGGTCTAGAGCTTAAGTAACAGCTATAGAGCAACTATAGAGCCGATCACGTCTAGAGCTTAAATAGTAGCTATAGAGCAACTCAACAGCCAATCAAGTCTAGAGCTTAAATAATAGCTATAAAGCAACTCAACAGCCAATCAGGTCTAGAGCTTATGTAGTAGCTATAGAGCAACTCAACAGCCAATCAGGTCCAGAGCTTATGTAGTAGCTATAGAGCAACTCAACAGCCAATCAGGTATAGAGCTTATGTAGTAGCTATAGAGCAACTCTGCTGGTGAACACAATCTCATGGAAATATTTAAAATCTCCAAACAAAGTTTGCATCATTCTCTAATAGCCACATCAAAAAACATGTGCATAAATGACTTTTAATGAGTATTTATCGAAACAAATCATTTCGGATTTTTTTTTCAAGAAAAGTAACTCAAAGCAAGCCATCAAAAGATCGTCAGTTGTTGGATTTAAGTGTTCATAAGTTGCTGTCAAAAAGTCCTGGAAAGACAACATTCATGATCAAAGTGAGTGTCCAGGTGTTTCCATGATTAGAATATGATGCAGAAAAAAAATAATATTAGGCCTACTTGAAAGCTAAGATTTAGAATATTTTTTACTAAAGAAAAATATACCATTGCGATGAACTATATTTAGCAATGGCTTCTTATTTTGCGCTTTAGCTACTGGAAATTCAGAATCAGTTACGAAATTAGCTAGCTAAAGCGTAGTATTCTCATCGCTTAACTGTGGTGGTCGAACCTAGGACATCCAAAACTAATCTTTCAAGTAGTGCTTTAACAATATACTCATTTAATTGTCCATATAAATGCTTCTGAAGATCATTCTTTTCACAAACCATGTTTCAAGGTTCACACCACTTTTGTACAGGCGTAGTATTCAACCCAATAGAATTTGTCTCGTAGTTTCTCTAACGTCTTCTTAACACCAAGATATCCCGATGAGAGAAGGTTACAGAGATGGCAAAGTGCTTACAGCATTCATCATAGTAACAAGAATAATTTATTTTTGTAATGTCTTCATTTTCTTATTATAGGTACAAAATATCATCATAGAGTTTAAACTAGGGGTTACAAACCTTTTAACTTATAGGATCCAAAACTGTGATGTCTTCAGTTTAGGTTTCACCAGAACATTGTGTGTGACTTCTGCATAAGTGATCACTGTAAATTTTAAACACATTACACATACACCTCGCAGTATTTAGACAGTGGAATTATTTTGGGATTGTGAAGGGCGATTGTGCCCTCCCTTAAAAGGACATGGTGCTACTGAGAAAGGAAAGGACCCCACTTGTTATAGGTTTGCAATTGTAGTTTGAATAGAATCCTATGGAGGCTAATTCACTTTTGTCGGTGAGATGTAAAAAGCAGATGTTTGCCTTAGTAATCTTTCAGCTCCATGTTTAATCCATTTCACAATAGGATCAGTACTAACATCTCTAGCCTCAGCATCCTAAAGTTATATTCTAGACTTCTTTAATTCGTTTCTTTCGTGTAAAGACACTCCAAGAACTGCAGCTTGCCTCTCTTTTCGTTGACGTTCTTGATTGTCATGAAACTTCTTGCTTTCACTTCATATGAAGCCGTCTTCACTGCAGTCTTCCTTACCAATATCTCGGCATTTTTATGGTACAGTTCAGTACGATAAGCTCACATCCCTGGAAAGTTTGAAGTAGTCTTACTGTCTGGCTATTGGGATTCAGGAAATTTATTAACCATCTCGGCGATTACTAAATCAAATCGAGTGGAAAAAAAAAACTTGTTTGTACCGATGTAAAAATTTAAGGACAATGATTCAAAGCTTTTACAATGTCAAAAATTCCTTATGAATCACGCATTAAGTTTTAACTGTGAGCATGTGGGTTGATGGGCAATTAATTTCTGTTTCTCTTCCTGTATTTGTGTTTAGAAACAACAGATCTTCAGTTGTTGAGGAGCTTAATATTGGTGTTAAGGTAAGACTTTCGTTAAGAGCAGTGAATGTCTGTTCATATTATTCTGTCCAACAGAACTGTAATGTTGCGCCAACATCTTATTCACAGGACATCCCATACCAGAAAATAACTTGCAAAACGCCTTTAGATTAAACCTAAAAAAGTTTTCTGACTTCAAGTATTCTCTTCGAGGTAAACTGTTCCACTTCAATACTTGTTAGAGCTTCGGACGCTGTTTTTCTCGATGTTCACTCCCCCTTCTGATGCCGAAATAAACATATTTACATTCTAACGAAAGATGTATTTGTTTTAAGTTGCCAATGAGAACAGAACAAATTGATTGCTAAATTATTACAGTTAATATCTCAAAATATCCACGATTCCATCTACACAGAGGTTATTCACATGGCAACTCCTAAGACAACCTCCTAGAGCCGTGCATGTTGACTTCAACAATAAGCCTAAACAACGACAATATTTTATTAGGTGCTCACTCACTAAATGCCTAAGTTTTCTTTGACTCTAAAAATTATTGTCCAATCCAAACTCTCGAATTCTCATTAATTCTGGCCAGAGCGTGGCCCAGTGGTTAGAGTGATAGACTGTAGATACATCTTGGTTCACGTCTCGTTGCCACAAAATGACGCTCCTCACGTTGGTACCATTGGTATGTTATAAGAGTGACGGTTGAATCCTACTATTCCATTAGAGTAGCCCAAAAGATAGCGATGGATGCTATTGTCTTCCTCTTAGTCTATCAATTCAAAGTTAGGGACAGCTAGCGCAGATAGCCTTCGTGTAATTAACTCTGACTCACTTACACAACCAAACCTGACAATTCTTAAAAAAAAAGATTCTATAATATGATCAACACGGAACAAACTAGGCTTAGAATCTTATGACATACATAGTCCATACTTATAATACATAATTGCAAATAATTAATTAAATAATTATTACAATATAAAACTATAGCATGCTACCATATAATAACATTGTTAAAGGTTATGTTATTGTTTTTCCTTTCTTAATTTATACATTTGTACTGTTTTTGGCTAGTTTTAACGTCACGTAATAAAGAGTATCAAATAATGACAAAAACTTTCGTAATGGTGTAGGAAACAATTTGGACGATGTAAAACGTCTATTAGACTAGAGCAGTTGTTGATTGGTTAATGCGAGAGTGCTACTCTGTTTATGTGTCACTTGGTCAGCTAATTTAGTTTTTAAATTTTGAGTTTGTGTTTGAACGAGGTAAATCTCTATTAGTAGAGATACGGGAGAATTTAACAATGAAATGTTGTGTATGTACTAACCCTGATGAAGCCACGGAGGCGAAACGTTGGTTCAAATAAAAAGTTATTTTATGATTATCTGGAGTTTAAAGGTCGTTCTCCTCTAACCTTTTCATCAAAGTGAAATAACTACTTAGCGTTATATGTGAAGTTATAAAACCTTCTTTATCATTAAATGGACTGGAATTAACATTCTTTGTTCAACGAATAATTAAAGAAGAACCCGCTCAAGAATACAAACAATTACAACAATATAGTAGTGTAATAAATAAATTACAATGAATAATAATATCCCACGTTACCAGCATGAAAGATTTTTTAATAACTTGTTAGAGTAAGTAAATCTACATAAGTAGTAAAATGCGTGTAAAAGCCATATCAATATACCCTGTTTTCCTTATGCTAATGAACTTTATATGTTTCTAAAAACATATGCTATTTGTTATAGTAATGTCGTTTAATTGTATGCTGTTGCGAAAGCCCTACAGCGCTCTAGTGTTTTGAAATTCGATGTAAAGAATCTAGAGGACAGTTGATTTTGTAAATTTAAACACTTGGTTATTTGCATATCAACTAAGTGAAATTTTCACGTTTCTTATTAGCAAATTTGCAGTGTGGGAAGTGCTGAGGAAAGACGAGTTTTCACCCTTGAAGAACGCTGACGGAGCTGAGAAAGACACGCCTACAACTGCACGTGAAGATTTATTTGACCTGCATCGGAGGTACCTGCAGAAAGCTGGTGGAAAAATTGCTGAGGTCAATGGACATCCAGTTTCTTTGATACACAAGTAAGTTGTGATTTCATTTTCAATACGTATTCGGTTACAATTGTGGCGCGAGTTACCGTAATCGTTTGGTCTTCTTTTTTCAAAATATCCCCTGTTTCTTTTGTCAAAGTGCACTCAGGCTGATTCAATTACATTTCAATTACAGTTATGTATATTAACCCTAATGAAGCCGCAAAGGCGAAACGTTGGTTGAAATAAAAATGTATTCTTTTATATTTATCTGGAGTGTAAAAAGTCGTTTTTCTAAACTTTTAAAAATTACTTTAGAATCACGCTTTGACGGAATAACTTATTTTTCTTATCTCCTTTTCTACTGTTAGTCTTATTCTAACATATTAAATATTAGATCTATCACTTCTACGGTAGTTAACTTCACGCCGAACATTTTCCTTGGTCCTAACTTTACAGTCTACTGCTATTGTCCATCTGTTGTTTCCGCTCGTCTCACACTATTTATATGTTTATCACTTAATCGTTTGTCTGCCTTCTATATTTCTATATTCTGGACGTCAGTGTATTGCACGCAACGTTCGATAGTCTCAACATCAATGAGCTATAAACACAACTTCCTACAATCGTCTGCTTTAAACTGTTATTCTAACAAAAAACTAATCGATAATAAAATATTCACTCACAAAATAAATTACTCAGTAATATCTAAACTAAACAGTCTTTTATATCATGACAGTATATATATATATATATAACACGCACGTACGCAGGGAGGATCTGAGGGGGTTCGGCCGAACCCCCTATTTTTGTCACATTTAAACAAATTATGCATATATATAGTTATAGCGCAGCTGCTTATGGTATTTAATGTTTTCTACATAGTCTACGTTCTTTTGATGAAGTATTAGCATTTTTCGGTTTGAAATAGTTGCATGCCTCCAGAAACCCGTAGTATTAGTGTGATTTGCATGCTAAATGTGCTTCGCACAGTATTTGCTGGCTTTTGATCTCGCAAATAAGACCCCCCCCCTCTCAACATTCTGCGTACGGGCCTGTATAACAAAACACTGGAGTATCAGACTATTCTATTTTTTCTCTCCCTTATTAATCTCATCAGCCGGTTTCCTGACTTCAAAGGTCACTCTTCAGGATATAATTTTACTGGGAATCTATAACAAAAACATTCAAAAAAACGTTTTTCAACTAAACATAAATTAAATACATCTATTTTCCAAATGTACAAACATATAATACACTCCGTGTATAAATTAAGTATATTAAAAATGCTCAAGAATAATTGAAATTAGTTAAAGTTTATATAATATATTATCTGGTGAAAGTTATATTAAGAGGCTTTGAAATTGCTAAGAATAACTTTTTTGACAAAAAAAATTAAAGAGATATTAGTAAACCTAAACAGGATGTTACACCTTTTGTTGTTACTCATTGTCCAAATATATCTATGTATTTATCATTTGTTAATACACAATTAAAACAAATAATATAGATAAAAAAAACCTGAAAGATGTATTCAAAAATAAAATTATTTTATCAAAAAGACAACCTAAAAATGTGTATAGATTATTGAATAAACCTAAATAAATATATTTCTAAGGAAGCTTTTTCGATTGTGAAATAAAGAACTGTACTTTATGTAATTTAGGTTACATGAAAACTACCAAAACACTAAAGAACAATAATAAATATATTTTGTTTTTCATTAATAAAACATTTAATTGCAATTCTGAGAACATAATATATATATATATATATATTTGAAAGTGTAAATTGTGGTGAATTCTATGTTAGTGAAACAGATAATTCAAGATTAATGTTAAATTTACATAAATTCCAAAAAAGCCCATTATATGCCAGTAAACGTTTTAATGAATGTATTTTGAAAAAAAAATAATATTCTAAAAACACAAATTTTCATTTTTGCCCTTTTTGAGCATGTAATGTTAAACATAAAATATTATTTTTCAAAAAATATTTTATAATCTTTTTGGCGCCACTTTAAATAGATAGAAATAAGAGGGTAGGTGTAACTGGTTGTGTAAATTGCCAAACCATGAAAAGTATTACTAAAACTTACATAAAAGACAATAAAGCAAGTAAGAAGTATGAAATTATAGAATAAATACATTACATTTCTATAATAACAAGAGAAAGTATAATAACAATAAGATTTTAATTCAAAAAAGGAAAGTATATTGGATAAACTTTAATTTAATTTATTTTTGAGTATTTTTGATATACTTAAATTATTCATGGTGTGTATTATGTGTTTGTACATTTGGAAAATAGATGTATTTATTTTTTTGTTTATATGTGTTTAGTTGAAAAACTGTATTTGGATGTTTTTGTTATATATTCTCAATAAAACTATATCCTGAAGAGTGTGCCCCCAGTGGCACAGCTGTATGTCTGCGGACTTACAACGCTAGAATCCGGGTTTCAATACCCATGGTGGGCAGAGCACGGATAGCCCATCGTGTAGCTTTGTGCTTAATTACAAACAAACAATCCTGAAGAGTGACTTTGAAGTCACGAAACCCATTAATTAAGAAATTAATAAAAGAGAGGAAAAAAAAACAGAACAGTATGAAATTACATTGTTTTGTTATTCGTATCCACGGGTGAATCTTATTGATCTTTTGAAGATATATATATATATTTTCAAGTAAAAGCAATCTACTAGCAGCTTCTTTAACATTTATCTCAGTCCTCAGCTTGTGAACGAGCAAGTTGTCTTTTATTCGAAACCATTTTATATTGTGAAACCTGTTAACGATTAAAAATTATAGTAGTTCTTCAAAAATTTAAATTTTTGTTTGAAAGGATAAAGTCACAATTTAGAAAAATAAATAAATTATATTTTAATGTGATGAAATACCACAATGACACTGCATACAACATTTAACACAATATTTGCTCATTCGTTCATAACATAGGGTCTTAGCTGTCCTCATTGGATTTTCCAACAGGAGGTTCAGGTCAACAGTTCAAAATTATGGATGGCTAAGCCTGAACTTTAATGATTTCTGACCTGGCCATTTAGCCCATGTGTCGCATAAGGTGCAGTTCATGATATAGTACTAAATACCGAGGAAGGAGAGTGCATTACTGGCACCTCAGTATTTTGAATTACTCCTATATTAAGGCTGGATGATTCCTAGTAACTAGCGTTCTGGACTTCGTATCGAATGATCCGAGGTTCGAGCCGTGGTACTGCTGAACACGTTCTGCATTTTCAGTTGGGGCATGTGTTGTAAAATTTACACTAAGTGCCTTTATTTGGTTCAAAAAGACGGATAAGGCCTTTGTAGAGGGAGGTTGCTTAGTTGCCTTTCTAGTCCGCATTTCTAAATTAAGGATGGCTATAGTTGAACACCAGGGGTCTATGACTTGGCTGTTTAGTCTGTCAATAACATAAAATGCCGTTCAGGTTGAAAATCCCAATTTCTTCCTCCAGTATTAACAGGGCCAGTCTTTACAGATATAAAAATAGACTATTTTCCGCTATTAAAAAAAAAAACCCAGCCAACTTTGGAAATTTAAGGTATGTGTTATGAATTATTTATAAATTAACACATACTTAATTAAAGTGCAGCCTACACATAACGTGTAGTAAATATTAAGTATAAGGTCATTTGTTTTACTTATGTGCAGTGTATAAAAATTAGACCAAACATCTGGATATATAACACAGGTAATATGTTAAACGTTTTGTTACGACAGCGAAAGTCACGTGATGAATTTCTCGAATGATCGGGGAGGCCCGAGTGTGTTCGGGTCGCCCCCTTCGTTGGCAGAGAAGCCAGCGATAGATAGATAATTAAAGAAGCGAACAGTAGTGACGGTAATATAAAGTGTGTGTTTGTACTCATAGAGAGAAAAGTTATCGAGATTGTGAATCGCTGTGATTTATAACGTGTATCATTAAAAGTAGTTAAGTTTAAAGTGACGAGAAACGTACTAACTGTGGAATTACTATGTACTAAAAGGTTGTATCGAGAAAGAATAAACTGGTTTAATCAAGAAAAGACTTGTATCGCTTAAGTTCCTCGGAAAGAATTTATAACGGGAATTAACAAACAAGCAGATACGCAACAGTTTTAATAGCAGGATAAAGAAACGAACATGCTAGATAATTTTTTTCATGAAAGTTTGAGAATATTTTAAGCACGGTTCACACTATTAAAATGTTGCCTAAAAATTAAAAAGAAATGCTAAAAATGCCAACGTAAAGATAACGAAACAATTATATTAAAACATTTGGCTTTATTTCTGAATTAAGTAGCTTTTTTGAAAATACAGAGTAACTCAGGAGGTAAAATACTGAAATTACAATGTTATTTCCGGCAAACACTGGCTCTGTTGTTGTTGTCGTTGTTTTATAGCAAAGCTACACAATGGGCTTTTTGTTCACCACGGGGAATCGATCCCCGAGTTTTAACGTTATATGTCCTTAAAACTACCGCTGACCTACCGGGGGACACACCGGCTCTAATACTCAATATTGAAGTGATATTAATACAGTCTTCTTACTGAAAATATATACTGGACAATACAATTAAAATGAATTGCTAAAACTTATTTTAGACCTATTCTTTTTTTGTTGTTTCTTTCTCACTTGTGCCAAAAAATGTACCATAATTTGTATTTATTATACGTTGTAACTAATGTCATTTACGTTTATGGGATGGCGTCACAAGTATTTCTGTTTCAAAAATCTTTGCCATATCTGTTTATTTTTCAGCAAGAATAATAAGTTAGTAATACCTTATACACGATATTTTATTTAAGGCTTCTTTCATTAAGAGTATTGGTTATTATAGTAATTATACCTAATCTTCATTATTATTTCTATTTTATTCTATTTTTCGAACTATGCTGATATGTTATTTACTGAGCTACCTAACTGTGGTCAGGGTTGCTACTTTGGCAGAACATTTGCAGGAGCGATCGCTTACGCCGATGACATTATCCTTTTAGCTCCGTCGAAAACTGGGTTATTGAATATGTTGGAAATTGCCGAACAAATAGGCAAGAACCTTAACATTAAGTTCAATCCAGCGAAATGCCAGTTTTTGAAATTTAGGTGTCCTACTTCAGTTAGTAATGATAATGTAGAACAGCCTGTATTGTTCTATGACGTGATTGTGCCATTAAGTGAATCAGCTGTACACCTTGGTCATTACATCGGCTTAATTACATAGTAAATTCCATTCAGAAAAGCGTGAATGAATTGTACCAGAGATGTAATTCGTTACTATCTAAATTTTCACATTGTTCACATGATGTGCGATACAGTCTGTTTAAAACTTGCTGTATGTGTTCATATGGATCGAATCTTTGGGATTTGGATCATAAGACAATCGAGAGTTTTTATTGCGCATGGCGGAAATGCATTCATCGTATTCTCATGGTGCCATATGACACTCACTGTGATTTGTTATCTAGAATTGTGGATGATCATCCCATAGAATTTCAAATGCACAAGCGTTTTGTAAACTTTATGAACTCCTGCCGTTCGTCTGAAAACGAGCTAGTCAGATTATGCTATAGAATGGCTGTAAATGGCAGTAGATCTTCTGCTGGGAATTCCATCAGTCAAATTTGTTGTAAATACAATCTTTACCGAGATTTCTTCGATGTAAAAAGCCTCAGACCGGCCCAAGAGCCAGTGCTATTAGATACTTTATCCGCTTCAGGGAGACATCAGGAGGTGACGACAGGGTAGATATAAATATTATTATTTCTCACCTGTGTACATATTAATTATCTGTATAACTACTGATGTCTGTAACTGTATTAATTTAACTGTATCTATGAATGGTACGATATACATATATATATATTTATTTATTATTATAAAGGTTATGTCACATTGTTATCTGAGTTTATGGATTTAGGATTAACCTAAATCTACTAAGCTGGCCGAACCAAGTATAACTTGTACCAAATATGGTAGTTTTTATTGTGGCCATTGGCCTGAACGAGTGAAACTTTTACCACATTGCGGACACATAGAATATTTAATATACCTACTTTAATTATGTGTTCATTTCTAACTTAATTTTATATTTACTACTTTATTATAATAGTTATTCTTAATTGTTACCTTAGTATAATATGGGTTTAACACTAACCTAAACCTCCTGGAACCCCCCAATGGCACTTATAACGCTAGAAACCGGGTTTCGATACCCGTGGTGGGCCTTTGTGTAGCTTTGTACTTAACTACAAACAAACAAGCCTCCTGGGCTGACTGAACTTCGTGAGATATTATGGGGTTTATGGCCGAAGATGTTGTTAATAGCAAGAGTACTCAATTGATGAAACAATGCATTATAATCATTACAAGTAACATTTGAACATAATATTTCCTTAGCTATGCTCATTACTAGGTATATATGTGAAACCACCTCGCTTTACACTATATATGTATGTGTGTATATATACCAGTTCTGGTGTATGCAGATAGCTTCCTTAAATCAGAGGTTAATGTCTATTGGTGTCATATATATATGGACTAGTATTTGTCTGAAATAGCATTGCCCAAAATAAATAAATTCAGTAAAAATATAGCAGAAGAAACATATATGCTACTTTTAATAACAATCAGTACCCGTCGTTCCATAAAAAGTAGATAACATAATATGAATTAATGTAGACATTTTCTTTAATTCGGCAGCCATTTCATTATTAACCAAATTCGCTGAGACATTGACTTCTAGCGCTTAAAAAAATGTAAACATCTATAAATGGTCTTCTGCCAAAACTGTTAATGAGGTCATATTTAAAAGTGGAACTAACTTTCGTAACATCCTAACAAAAGCCAAACCTATAATATACACAAATTGTTAATATGTTGCTTGCAATATACCTCGTGAATCGGCAAAACTTAACAGGCATTTTCTATCATACTAAAAAAACATAATTAAGACATCAAACACTGTTGATACCTCGGCCGTGAAAATGATAATAATATGATACAGAATATACGTAAGACAATAAACTAAACAAGCTTCATAAAAGTAAAGAAAAAAAAAAGGCTATTGCCATAAGAACTAACAAATGTAGTACTCAGAACAAGAGTTAGGCTCCATTAAACAAAGGTAAGAACTAACAAATGTAGTACTCAGAACAAGAGTTAGGCTCCATTAAACAAAGGTAAGAACTAACAAATGTAGTACTAAGAACAAGAGTTAGGCC